GGCCACTGCACTCCAGTCTGGGTGACAGAGGAAAACCCCAACTCAAAAAAAAAAAAAATACAATCTAAGATATAAGGATGACATTATTTATGTGCTTAACACTAAGAGGAGGAAAAATGGTTGTCAGTGAATTGCAAGCTGCCATGAATTATAAGACACATTTTGATCTCAGAGGTGTTAACATGTGGAAAAGTGCTGGTGGCTCACTCCTATAATCCCAGCACTTTGGGAGGACAAAGTGGGAGGATCCCTTGAGTCCAGGAGTTTGAGGCCAGCCTGGGCAACATAGCGAGACTGCATCTCAACAAAAAATTTAAAAATTAGCCAGGCTTGGTGGTACGTACCTGTAGTCCCAGCCACCAGGGAGGCTGAGATGGAAGGATCACCAGAGCCCAGGAGTTGGAAGCTATGGTGAGCAGGGATTGTGACACTGCAGTCCAGCCTAGGCAACAGAGTAAGATCCCCAATTCAAAAAAATTAATTACTTAATTAAATGTGGAAAAGTGCATCTCAGAATGGGTGAAAGACAGTGTTTCTTTGGATTCCTGAGGGATTATCTCTTGTAGTCATTTGCCTCGCTTGGGGGAAGAATCTGAATCTCCCTTGTAGGTCAGCTATGGAGAAAAAATACTGAGGTCACAGCCTTGAATGCTGACTCAGGAAGCTTTTAGGACCACTTTTCTAGACAAGCAGGGACTCCCAGTACTTGTCACTATCTTCTTCAGCTGTCATGTCTTTGCCATGCCGGCCCTTTACTAAACTTTCAAGACTTGACAAAAATGGCCATTTCTTCCATTACATTTTACTGAAATATCACTGAGTTCATTGAAACATCATAGGCTCATCCTGTAATCCCAGCACTTTGGGAGGCCGAGGTGAGTGGATTGCCTATGCCCGCGGATTTGAGACCCACCTGGGCAACTTGGCGAGACCTCATCTCTACAATAAATCAAAAAATTAGCCGGGTGTGGTAGCACACACTTGTAGTTCCGGCTACTTGGAAGGCTGAGGTGGAAGGATCGCCGGAGACCAGAAGGTTGAGGCTGCGGTGGCCGGGAGCGGCCACTGCACTCCAGTCTGGGTGACAGAGTGAGACTCCAACTCAAAAAAAAAAGATAATCATAATCACAAATACACTATGTCACTTCAATTTGGCCTTGAAAAATAAATCGCAAGTGCCAGCAAGAAAGCTTTTGGAGTAGAAGACATGGCAGGAACAAAAACACAGTGGCATGCAGGGGTCCTCCTCACCTTCTCTGCCATCTGGCCAGACCACTCCTGGATGGCAGGGCTTCGAACACTGACCTTTTGATCTAAACAGCTCCACAGAAAGGTTCAGTTATCACTTACATGCCTATGATTATATTGTCCTGTTTTATTAAGATCTTTTTCTTCTCTGCCATGTCAAACCCTACACTTCCTACAAGGCCAGCTCAAGTGCCATCTCCTCCATCCTGTCCTCCTTGATAACCTCATCCATCAGGATCTGAACTCCCAGATATTGATGGCATCATGATTTACTGTTACAGTCTTCTGAGCCATTTGCATGCCAACAGCAACTAGAAAATTCTCTGAGTATAAGCCCCCTTCTCTTACTTGCTACTTCCCTATTTTTATTTAAGATCTCCAAAATTGGGAACAAACTTCTGCCAACAATAAGAGAATGTTTAAATAAATTATAAATGGAATATCACAGAACCATTAAAAATGGTATTTGAAGATTATGTAATGACATAGGGAAATGTTTATCAGATAATAGTAGGGGGCAAGGCACTAATCCAAATTATATTTAAAATATTATTCCAATCTTGTAACATACACATAAAGACAACACTGGCAAGAAATACAACAAATTATTAACATTAGTCATCTCTGTGTGGTAGAATTAGTCATTTTTTATTTCCCCCTTTGTATTTTTTGTACTTTGCAAATTTTCTACCAAAAATTATACACTGCTTTGTAATAAGAATATAAGAATATAAAGACGCACATATGTTATTTTATTTTTATTCTTTTTTTTTTGAGTTGGAGTCTCATTCTGTTGGGCCAGGCTAGAGTACACTGTCGACCTACTGTGCTCCGGCAATCCTTCCACCTCAGCCTTCCAAGTAGCCAGAACTACAGGCACGCGTTACCATGGCTGGCTAATTTTTTGATTTTTATTGTAGAGACAAGGTCTTGCCAAGTTGCCCAGACTGGTCTCTAACCCACGGGCTCAGGTAATCCACTCGCCTCGGCCTCCCAAAGTGCTGGGATTTCAGACTGAGCCACCGAGCCTGGCCCATATATGTTATTTTAAAACACATGTGTATATATAAGTACTTGTTTATTCCAGGAACATAGCAGATAATTATTACTGATTGACAAGATCGGAACAAGAAGAAACCAGTTTAAAAATCATCATGAGCTGGGCATGGTGGTTCACACGTATAATCCCAGCACTTCAGAAAGCAGAGGAATAAAGATTGCCTGAGCCCAAAGGTTCGAGACCAGCCTGGACAACTTGGCAAGACTTCATCTCTACAATAATCAAAACAATTAGCTGGGCATGGTGGCAGGCGCCTATGGCCCAGCTACTTGGAAGGCTGAGGTGGAAGGATCCCCTGATCCCGGCAGGTCAAGGTTGCCTTAGCCATGAGTGTGCCACTGCACCCCAGCCTAGGCGACAGAGAGAGACTCCAATCAAAAATAAATAAAATAAAACAAAAATCAACATGAACTCTTTAGTTTAAATAGAAAATATCTCTTTTTTTTAAAAAAAGAAAGGCTCTCCTGACACCACAAACAAGTTATCAAGGAAACTTATTCTACCTGATGAATGTCACATAGAAAAATCTCTGAAATGCTTTAAATGTGACACTGAGATAATGATCTGTTGAGGCACTTTTGGTCTTAAGAATCTGTGACTCACCAGGCACAGTGCCTCAAGCCTGTAATTCTAGCACTTTGGGAGGCTGAGATGAGAGGATTGCCTGAGTCCAGGGGTTCGAGATCAGCCTGGGTAACTTGGTGATACCTCATCTCTACAATAAATCAAAAAATTAGCTGGGTGAGGTGGTGCATGCCCATGGTTCCAGCTACTTGGAAGGCTGAGGTGGAAAGATCACCTGAGCCCAGCAGGTTGAGGCTGTGGTGGCTGTGAGCATGCCACTGCACTCCAGCCTGGGTGACAGAGTGAGACTCCAACTCCACAAAAACAAAACAAAACAAAACTGTAACTCTACTTCTTGACTTCTTCTCCTAAACTTTTTGATATTTTTAACACACTTAAAGAAAAACTTCAATATAAAGTGTTAATACCTTTGAGTGTGTTAATGATAGCCTTATAGTTACCAAATGGAGATAAAACAGTTTCTAAACTATACAATAGCATAAACACAGTGTGTCACTATGTCTGTGGCATAATAATTCTTTTTCCCTGATGAGCTTCTTTAGGGAAAGAGCTGTCTCACCCACCTTCATAACCCTCAATGCCTGGGACAGAGCCTGGGCACAATCAGGCTCTCACTAAATGTGTGAAAAATTGAGTACATAAGAATACGCATACCTACCACGTCCACTAACTGAGATATTGCAAGGCCAAACTTTATTTTTATTTTATCCTTCAGGTGCTCCACAGGACGAACCCATCTTTCGTAGTCGTGAAATAAATCCTTAAACAAACTATCTTCATGTTTTGCAATAAAGGATGGTTCAGATAATCCTGTGTAACAAATTTGTAAAGGTTAGTGTATTGGCTTCTCTCCCACCAAATATACTTTCAAACAAAAATTCAGCATTATTAATGAATCAAACTATAATTTAGGCTGCTGTTAATAAAGCTTTAAAAATGCAATATTAGTAACCGGGCACGGTGGCTCACACCTGTAATCCCAGCACTTTGAGAGGCGAAGGCAAGAGGACTGCCTGAGACCAGGGGTTCGAGACCAGCCTGGGCAACTTGGTAAGACTTTGTCTCTACAATAAATCAAAAAAATTAGCCAGGCATGGTGGTGCACACCTGTGGTTCCAGCTACTTGGAAGGCTGAAGTGGAAAGATCATCTGAGCCCTGCAGGTCAAGGCCACAGTGGCCATGAGTGTGACACTGCACTCCAGCCTGGGCAACAGAGTGACAATCCAACTCAAATAAAATAAAATAAAATATTAATACAAGTATTTTTTTTCTTATGCAAGCCCCTGACTTGCACACGTTAGACCCCTAGGTCCTGAATGACTGAAACCCTCTCATGTCACTCCTCTGCCTCCCGCAATGGGAATAAACCACCCCGCCCCCACCTGCATAGCCTGTGGTAGGGGAGCAGTTATGCCATATTACAAGTATTTCTGCCGGGCTCGGTGGCTCAGCCTGTAATCCCGCGCTTTGGGAGGCTGAGGTGAGTGAATTGCCTGAGCCTGCAGGTTCGAGACCCACCTGGGCAACTTGGCGAGACCTCATCTCTACAATAAATTAAAATGAGCCAGGCATGGTAGCGCACGCCTGTAGTTCCAGCTACTTGGAAGGCTGAGGTAGAAGGATTGCCGGAGCCCAGCAGGTAGAGGCTGTGGTAGCCAGGAGCGGCCACTGCACTCCAGTCTGGGTGACAGAGTGAGACTCCGACTCAAAAAAAACAACAACAAAAACACCCAAGTATTTCTAATCAAATAAGGGTCACTCTGGTTCAGATATAATTCTTAGTTAAATCACATCACTCAATTACTCACTATGGGAATATGCTGAATTCCTTAGGAAACATTTAGCATATAGTACAGAGTAGCTCACAGAGTAGTACTCAGTGCAATAGCTCACACCTGTAATCCCAGCATTTTGGGAGGCCGAGACTGGAGGATTGTTTGAGCCAGGAGACCAACCTGGGCAACATAGCAAAACCTTGTCTCTACAAACTTTTTAAAAAAAATTAGCCAGGTGGGGGTGTCCTGTAATCCCAGCTACTCAGGAGACTGAGGTGGAAGGATCACCTGAGTCTAGGAGGTCAAGGCCACAGTGAGCTGTGATCTTGCCATAGTACTCTAACCTGGGTGACCTGGGTGATTACTCCAGCCTCCTCCCTAAAAAAAAAAAAAAAAATATATATATATATATATATATATATATATATATATATTCATATTCCAAGTAACAAAAGCTTTTATTTAGCCAGGGCTGGAACTGGGGTGGGGAGCTGCTTGACATAAAATTCCAAACCTTGAAAGCAGATCTACGGAAGCAAAGTTCATTCATCAGCCATAAATGTAAAATAACCATGCTTTAATTTGCATAGTTTTAATGTATAAATGGTGAATGAATGATTCAGCTTTGGCATACCTTTGCTTGCTACACATTTGTATAAAACTACTTTGAGGGAATAAAGGAAGAGGAATTCAAAGAGTGCACTGCCCTGGAAGCCAAATGGAGAAAATGCACCCAGAAGGACTGAGCACCCCAATCTACTGATGCTACTGAGGACGCAGGCAAGAGGAGGCTGAGAACCGAACACCAGATCCACACCTCGGAGGCCTACAGGGAGTCTGACAAGAGCCAATTACATGGAAAGATGAGAGGCAATTGGAGTAGGTGTAAGGCAGAGTGCAAAGAAAGAAATGTCTCTTTCCAGAGGTTATGGTGACACTGGGAACAAAGGAATAGAGCAGTTGCTAGCAGAAGATGAAGAGTCCAGAAAGGTTTACTTTAAGATCAGTGAAAGAGAACATGCTCGTGCATGAATATGAACAGCGCTGGCTACATAATTCACAGGACCCAGTTGGTGTTCAAAAATCGGGAAGATGTCAGACATGGTGGCTCAAACTTGTAATCCCGACACTTTGGGAGGCTGAGGTGAGGGGATTGCCTGAGCCCATGGGTTCGAGAACAGCAACTTAGTAAGACTTTGTCTCTACAATGAAAAAAAAAATAGCTGGGCAAGGTTGCATGTGCCTGTAGTTCCAGCTACTTGGAAGGCTGAGGCAGAAGGATCACCTGAGCCCAAGAAGTGGACAGTGGAGTGGCCATGAGCGTGCATGCCACTGAGACGCCAACTCAAAAAAAAAAAAAAAAAATCAGGAAGAATGTGCCATTAAATACACTACTAAAAGAATAAGTAAACTCAAACTTTTTCCTTTCTTTAAAAAAACAAAAAAGATGGGCACGATGGCTCATGCCTGTAAACCCAGCACTTTGGGAGGCCAAGGTGAGAGGACTGCCTGAGGCCACGGGTTCAAGACCAGCCTGGTGAGACCTCATCTCTATAATAAATAAAAAAAGGACAGGCTTGGTGACTCAGCCTGTAATCGCAGCACTTTGGGAGGCCGAGGCAAGTGGATTGCCTGAGCCTGTGGGTTCAGGACCCGCCTGGGCAACTTGGTGGGACCTTGTCTCTACAATAAAATAAAAAATTAGCTGGGCATGGTAGTGCAGACCTGTAGTTCCAGCTACTTGGAAGACTGAGGCGGAAGGATCACTGGAGCCCAGTAGGTCGAAGCTGCGGTGGCCGGGAGCGTGCCACTGCACTCCAGTCTGGGTGACAGAGTGAGACTCCAACTCAAAATAAATAAATAAATAAAAATTAGCTGGGCGTGGTGGTGCATGCCTGTAGTTCTAGCTACTTGGAAGGCTGAGGTAAAAGGATCACCTGAGCCCAGTAGGTTGAGGCTGCAGTGACCGTGAGTGCTCCACTGCACTCCAGCCTGGGCAACAGTGAGCCTCTGACTCAAAAATACAACAAAACAAAACAAAAAGCAAACCAAAAAACCCTAGTTTTAGATCCTAAGTCTTTAAAAAAAAAAAAGACAAAATTTGAACAGCTTTAGATATGATGGCCAAAGACTGGCTAACTTTGTAGATCACAGTGAAGTTCATACTCCTACAGAGCTTAAGTTAAGTTTCTCTCAAGAAATGAAGAGTTTCTGGTATTGTCTGGACTGCGATCACTTAAGGAAATGCGAAATGTATAAAATTCAAGCATGACATTTATTCAAAATTAATGATTTTATGAAAAACATGTACTTGAAACAAAACTGTCCCTGGTTTATTCATCAGCCTGTATACACGTGGGGATTATAGTAGCTATGGATGGTCCTTCTCCAACAGAAAAGAAATGGTTTGAGAGAAAATTAGCACTTTCACGAAATCTTCTCTTGATGTGACAGACTTTTTTTTCTACAGCGCTATTAAAGAGGATCTGGTTACTCCAGCTGGAAGAAGTTAGGTCCCTGACACTCCTTCTCTGCCAACTTCTTCAGACATAACCTACTTCCTCAGAGGTTTAAGTCCTCCCTGAGTAGTTTATAATACTTGGTTTATTCTATAAATACTGTAGAGTACGCCTGGTGACTCTCAAAAAAATCTCCTTGTGCTGAAATGCACAGCATTGGAGATATTTAGAGTCACATAGAATATTATACACTGGAGAGTCATTCTTAATGTTTAAAAGCCATTGATTTTAGAACTTCAAGTTAAAATAGCATTATTTTACCACTTCTCTTCTGATCCTATTTTAAAGATTTTGTAGACTCTGACATACCAAAAATTTAAGGTTTAAAAGACAAAAATAAATCAAATATCTTTTTTTTTTTTTGAGTTGGAGTCTCACTCTGTCACCCAGACTGGAGTGCAGTGGCCGCTCCCAGTCACTGCAGCCTTGACCTGCTGGGCTCTGGCGAACCTTCTGCCTCAGCCTTCCAAGTAGCTGGAACTACAGGCGTGCACTACCACGCCCGGCTCATTTTTTGATTTATTGTAGAGATGAGGTCGCACCAAGTTGCCCAGGCAGATCTCAAACCCATGGGCTCAGGCAATCCACTCACCTCAGCCTTCCAAAGGCACGGGATTATAGGCTGAGCCACCAAGCCCGGCTTCAAATATCTTTCAATAGCATCTAAGGACCTTCTGCCCTGGTATGGAAAAACACATCTTGAATTGTCATCTCAAATTTCATTTAAAAAAAAAGAAGGGTATTTTTAAAAAAGACAAATTAATCCAAATATTCTACCAAATGAGAACCTTCAAGATACTGCTTTGTGAATATCTTCGTAATACATTCAATACTAGAAATACCATTTTCAACCAGGCATGGTAGCGCATGCCTGTAATCCCAGCACTTTGGAAGGCCGAGGTGAGTGGATTGCCTGAGCCTGAGGGTTAAAGACCAGCCCCGGCAACTTGGCGAGACCCTGTCTGTACAATAAATAAAAAATTAGCCAGGTGTGGTGGTGCATCCCTGTGGTTCCAGTTACTTGGAAGGTTGAGGTGGAAAGATCGCCGGAGCCCAGCAGGTAGACACTGGGTAGCTGTGAGTATGCCACTGCATTCCAGCCTGGGCGACAGAATGAGACTGCAACTCAAAAAATAAATAATAAATAAATATCATTTTCTTAGTACACTTTACAGAAGTGGCAGATGCAAATGTCAGTGATATTTTAGCATGGAACCTTCATGGTGCACTTAAATTCTACTGAGCAGTCATGCTTTTTAGCTGGCTCCAAATGTCTTAAGTTTATGTTGCTTATCAACCTCAGATTTAACAAGTAGAAATTCAGTGCAGCCCCTTATTTCACAAATGAGGATATACGTCCGGAAGGGCTAGCACTACTGAGCTCATTAATAGCAGAGTCCAGGCGGGTGCAGTGGCTCATGCCTGAAATCCTAACACTTGGGGAGGCCAAGATGGAAGGATCACTTGAGGGCCAGGAGTTTGAGACCAGCCTAGGCAATACAGCAAGACCCCAC